TCTCGGAGGCCTTCACTTTGCTCCCCAGCTCCTGCCTTTCTGGCATTCGCGGCCTGACTCGGCGGCGGACTCTGGGGGGGTGGGGGGGTGGACACTCGGGGTGGGTGATGGGGCCAGTCAGTCATGGCTTCTGGTGCTGCAGACTCATCTCCAACGCTCAGGACGTTAATGTCACGGGGACAAGAGGGGGTGGGGGGGGATCCAAGCCATGGTCTGCAGAAGGGAGCCCCGAAAGGGGAGGGAGAGGTCTGGATTACAGAGCCATCCATCTGGGTGTAATCTGGAGTCCGGGGGGAGGGGGTGTATCGGAGGCCCCCCGGGTGCTGCATGGATCCCTGCTCCATAGGACAGAGAGACTCCAGCTGTTACCCCCGCGATAACAGGGCACAACGGTTCTGCCCCCCGGTGGCGCTGTGGGAGAAGGGGCTTGTGAAGGGCAGAGGGTCTCGCTGGGATTCAGAGACATGAGAATTCACCCGCCTGCCCCCGCGCGCCACTCTGCAGACAGGGAAACTGAGGCACGGAGGCTTGTCCCTCACAAGGTCACACCGCCAGCCAGTGGCAGAGCTGGGACTAAAACCAGGAGTCCTGCTCCCCCCTCCCCAGGCCCCACTGTGTTAACCCCCAGGCTACGCTAGGCTCCCCTCCCAGAGCTGGGGAGAGAACCCAGGAGTCCTGGCTCCCAGCCCCCCTAACCACTAGACCATGCTCCCCTCCCAGAGCTGAGGAGAGAACCCAGGAGTCCTGGCACCCAGCCCCTCTCCCCCCCTAACCACTAGACCCCGCTCCCCTCCCAGAGCTAGGGAGAGAACCCAGGAGTCCTGGCTGCCAGCCACCCCCAGCTCTAACCCACTAGACCCCACTCCAAAATCCAAACCCAAAGTCTAATCCCAGCAAGACCCTAAACCCCCTAACTCTGACCCCAACGCCAATAACACCCCCCTCGCGTTCTGCCTGCACGGGGGGGCACAGACCCCCCCCCAGGTAGACCCAGAGCCAACCACAGTCGGAGGGAGGTGGGGAGCAGACGGGGTCCCCCCCCCTTGGCACCCACGTGCCTCCGTCCCTGGGAATCTGGTGCCAGGCCTGGCCTGCCTGGGATATTCACCCACCAATCAACCCCCTCTCCCCGGAACACGGGGACCCCCCTGAACCCCGAAGTGGAGATCAGCTCCCCCCCATCCCCACACCTCAGCCCACCTCACACTCCGGGGTGGGGGGCGCAGCCCAGCTCGGCCCGGGAGTGGTGGTGGTAGGGGGGGGGGGGGGTGCCCGGAAAAGCGATTCTCCTGCCT